GATTTTATCTTGGCAAAGAACCAACTCTTTGTTTCATTAATTATCTGCTTTGTTTAATTATTGTGGTTGTTCTTTCAATTTTCTTAATTTCTTCCCTGAAGTTGATTATTTCTTTCTATCTGTTCATTTGGGTTTTGGCTTTTTCTTCCTCTTCCAAAGCCATAGACATACCAATAAGTTATTTATTTGTCATCTCTCATTGTGTGTGTTCACATGCAGGAAGGAGCACATGCAAATCAGGTATCTTTCACAATAGCTTATGCAAATAATTTTTTGAGACAATGCTTCTCAGTCAGACTGGAGCTCACAAATAAAGCCAGACTAGTTGGTAACCAAACTGCAATGAGCTTTTTAGCTATGTCTCTTCAGAGTAGGATTACAGGGGCATGCTGCCCCATGTGTATTTTTGGGGATTTTTTTTTTTGCATGGGTGCAAGGGGTCTAAACTCTGCTCATCATGTGAGTGATGCAAATACTTCATTAACTGAGCCATCTCTTCAATATAACTTCTCTGGATATACTTGTCAGGTGAAAATTCTGATGGTTAGGCAAAAGCCAGCATTCCTCAGGAACTTGTAAAGCCGGTTCCCTTCTAGTAAAGAAACCATTTCCTTATCACTGTCAGAAGGGACAAATGGCTATTTTTGGTGCCTATTCACACACCTCTTGTTCTTACATATTTTCTGCACCCCTTCTATGATGTTCCCCAAATCTTAGGTACAAGATTTGTGCTGCAGAAAAATCTGATCTTTCAATAGTGTCCCACAGCACTCAGGTGTTTTAGTTATATTTTCTTATTATTTTATCTTTGTTGATGTCTTTGTTGTTTCTTTTCATCTGTCCCTGGCATTCTTTCTTCCTTACAATCCATTATATTACATATTGAGGCTATCAATTGAATTTATTGTACTTTCTGAGATTCTTATTACTAAAATTTCAATTATATTTTTCCTCCCTTTCTGTTTCCTCACCAAATTCCAGTTTCATATGCTGCATTGACCTTCTTATCACACTCAGCTCTTTATTTTTACTCTTCCTGATTTCTTTCAGGATTTTATTTCTCTCTTCTTTTATTAAACATCCTATTAAAATTTTAGATATTTTTCTGGGATGTATCTAATTCACTCTCACTGTGGACTAGTACTATGATATTTTCCATGGGGAAGAGGTCATATTTCCTTGATTTGTTATCTTTCTTGTTCTATTCCATTGAGATCTATGCATCAGTTTTTTTTATTGATTGGGTTTATCAGTTGTTTTATTGCAGACAATATTTTCAGTATTCTATTGATAGAATTAATATGCAGAGTTTAGAATTTATACCCCCTTCAGGGTGCCTGATACTACCACATATTTAAATATTATCTGTATAATCAACCACACTGCTGGATAGAATTCCTACTATGAAAGTGTCATTCCAGCCAATTAACAGCAGTGATACTTTTAACTCCAATAACTATTGCAGTACTAGTACACATGCATAGTATAGTATAGTATAATATAGTATAGTATATAGTAAAGAATTATCAAGAATCCAAGAAAAGGGATGTAGTCTGGATAAGGAGAGGAATTTGTGTTAGACCAATTGGAAGAAAATTAAGATGAGAAAAAACATCTGGGAGCAGAGCATTGGGATATTGTTATTTTCTATGGTATCATACATTTTTAAAGTTTTGGAGAGCTAAAGTTAATAAGAAAAAGAAGTAGTAGCAAGGAGGACAAAATATAAAAAGATGTGGGAATTCATGAGTAAATACACTGGTTGTACGTAGTATGAATAGCACAGAGTACATAATAGTACAATGAGGTCAAAAGGATACAAAACAATCACATAAACTGTGCAATGTATAACCTAAATAAAACCATTACAAAGTATTTGTTCAAGACTGAAGATTAAAAGATGAAAAGAAAAAAGAAAAAAGAAAAATTAACAAAACTTTTAACAGTAGCAAAAGAAAAGTGTAATAAAAAACCCTATTCATCAATATTTCTTTTACCCTGGAATGGGATTTGAATTTTTTCTTCCCTTCAAAAATTTCATGAGGCAAATTGCACTCACAGGTGAGGGACAATTTGTTTGTTATTAAAGTAGAAAGCTGCAAAGCCTGATTTTGTCTATGTATTGTCCCATAGAGGTTAGCTAATAACACTTTGGATTGAGTGTTTGGCACAGCCTCAGTGAAATGAGCAGTGTAGTTCTCAGTTCCTTCCTTGGTACTCTGTGTGGTTTGGCAACATTGTGCTGGAGAAGACAGGTTGCCATCTCTTGCTGTGGGTTCCCATGGACTATAGCTACAGACTGGGTATAAAGAGCATGTCAATTGCACTATCACATTTCAATCCCTGGACCTACCCAGCTCTCAGTTTTGTGGCAGGCCTTTCTTCAGGCTGTATCAACATGCTGGTGTATGGGGAAGGAGGTGTAAGCTTTCCTCCTACAATTCCCGCTTAACCTCAACTGGAACCCCGCTGTGAGAACTAAAGCTTTAGTTCCAAGGCCTCATCTCCAATTGCATATCCAGTCCTTGGTTATCAGCTAACTGTTACCGCAGCTCTGCTGAGTGTGTGTGCTGCAAAGTGCTTCCCTGTGGTTTCCAATTACCTCACCAGAGCCAATTTGTGCAGCTAGGCACCAGTTCACAGTCACTCTTGTCTGCTTCCCCACAGAGATCTCACTTGGCTTAATAAGCCCATTTAGAGCTACTGTCTCTTGCAAGAATAAAGATTATCATGTACTCTCCTGTTTTCTTTCAGTGAGTTGCATCATGCGCTCTCTAATCTGCCAACTTCCCTAAAAATGCCTATTCTCAATTTTTTTGAGGAAAATCCAAGCTATTTTACAACATTCTTACCATAGTGTAGGAGAGTTCTTTTTCTACATTCTTACAAAGATTAAAAACAAAATTTTTAGTATTATTTCTATTACCAGTCTTGTTAGGGTGAGGTGTATCCTGTTGCTTTGACTGGCCTTTCCCTGAATAGTGACATTGAGCATAGTTTCATGTACCCATTGTTTATTTGTAAGTCTTCTTTTGGGAAATGTTGCTTTCAATTAAGTGTATCCTACTTAATTTGAAAGAAAGATGGGACCCAGTTTTATCTGATCCCAAATGTATTTCTTAGGTATTCACTTTCACTATACTTATATGACTGAACAAGTTGCACATATTCTTTGAGCTGTGGTTGTCAAGCCTGTGAAATGAGGCTCACAATAGTTGTTTGGCAGGATTGTTGTAAAACCCAACAAAATAATATACTTGAGAGTTCTTTATAAAGTACAGACTACCAGACAAATATAAATTCATTATATTTAACATTTTTTCATGAACAGTGTTGCCATTTATGAGTTTTTCTGAACTTTCAAGTGGTGTGTAAGTAAATGGCAGTCAGAGAGGCACTGAGTCAAATGGGCCTTTCATCGTAGTATTCCTTTTATGAGTATTCAGACAGCAGCTTGACAGATTAGCAGAACCTTCTTTCCCCTAAAGAAGTGCAGCTTTGCAAATATAGATGGTTTTAAAGGTGATAATCATGTACATGATAGGAACATTTGTAAACCATTTATCATGAAGTCCGATGTGATATTTAAGAGATATTTTTTTCAAGACAAGAAATTTGTTGTATTAGATTCTTCCTAATATCCAATATGACCCACCCTCTAGTAGGCTTACCTTGGCCTTTGAATTCCTCTTCAACCTTGTGGGCATCCTACTGTTAAAACTAGAGATGATACTTACATCCTTTCATAGTCCCTGGCTTTAGCCTCTATTTTTTAACTTATAAACAGAGGAAGGAATTGAGATAAATATTTACTTTAATGCTTTTACCCAGTAGAAAATATTGCTTGCTTAAAATCCCCCAGAAGATTTCTAGTGCTCTAAGCAAAAATATAAATATTTCTCATCAAGAACTTCAAGTCCCCAAAGATTCTGATCTATACTTCACTTTCTCTTTCATTGAATATCACTCTTTTTTATTTATGAATCAGTTGTGTTAATCTTCTTATTCATGAAACAATGATAATTTGTACTCAGCTTGGGACTGCATTAGCTACATGTTATTCCCAGAAAGCAGTTACTTAGGGAACTCTTCCCCACTTCCCTACATTCAAGTAGCCATCCACTCTGCATCATATCAACATAGTTTTGTTCTTGGGCCCTCACTGTGAGGTGAGTGTGTGTGTGTGTGTGTGTGTGTGTGTGTGTGCGATTTGTTTCACTGTGATACCTATAATCACACTGACTGTTCTGCAAATTCTTGATAAGTAATTGGCAAATGAATGAATAAATGTGTAAAACAAAGCATGAGTACACTGAAACTCTGCTGACTATCTTCTTCCAGCCTTTGTAGCAAAATTTAATACTATCTCTAATTGAAGGAGAAACAAAGGCTCTGAAGAACGTGAAAAATAAGAAGTATCTGCCTTGGTCTCATTTTTCATTGCTTTCCTTTTTATTCAAACTTTTACCTTTAATTGGGTCATTCTAGACTCCTGCAAGTTTCCTATCCCTGAATTCTTTCTTAGACAGTTTTCTCAGTAAATCAGATCCTTCAGAACAGAGGCCATTTCAGACTTCATGATTCCTCTCTCTTACAGATTCCCAAAACTTAATATTTTGTTTCTAAACCTAATTAAATATACTTTGCTTTGTTTAACAGATTTCTCTAATTCAAAAGTCTGGACATTTATATTTACATATCTCTCCATGAGGTACCCAAGTATATCATTACACTCTCCCTTCCCTTTAAGTGTGCTAGCCTCACTTCTTGTTTGAACAGTGACTATGATTACATACTATTTGTATCTCAAGGTATCTGCTGAACTGAACTATTAACAGCTGAGATTGAATGTATTGCTAATATTGGCCATTCTCAAATATTTGTCTTTAAGTGCACAAGCACGTACACACACACACACACACACACACACACACACACACACACCACACTTCCAGGTTCCTGAGATATAAAAACAAAAATTACTGTTCAAAAGGGTTTACCTTGGAGAGCTCCTGTCCAGGGCCACATTGTTGGCAGGTGACACAGTGCCCCCATTGGTCCTGGTACTCATTTTCTTGACAATCCATGATGAAAAAACTGTGGGTACAGAAAACAGTTACTACTGAGATAAGCAAAAAAAGAAGTAGCTTCCCTGACACCTGGCTTCTGTGTCTTCTTAACTGTGACTTTTAGTGACAATGGCCAAGGAAGCCAACTGGAAATAGCTAAAAGTTTTGGAGTACTGACAATGTGCCCAGAACTCTTCCAAATGCTTCCTATGTGATAATACATTCAATTCTCAAAGAATAACAACATAAATTAATAATAATAATAATAATAATTATTATTATTACATTTTACATGTAAGGAAACAAAGGCACAGGGACAAACAAATTTTCAGCTAATGGTTATACCAGAGCTTACAGTCAATAGATAACGACAGGCAGATAGATAATTAAAACAGTTGGATTCTTTCTTTCTAGTGGGTACAATCAAATGTGTGAAAATCTCAAACACATTTAAAAATCACTTTCACACTTACTTGATTTGTAAATACTTTCAATATTTTTATGACTTAAGCAATGTAGAAATTATCTTTATTTGTGAATGAAAAATTGAAACATGATTCTTCTTTGCCAAAGGGTCTGATTACAACAGCCATGTATTGAAGAACTGTACAAGTAAAGCAGTGTAAGTATGGAGATCGCCTTACATACATACACATATACGTTTATTATAACAGTGTATCAAGGAACACATACATGGTGCTTGTGTCTCTAAAATAAAACTGACAGGCTTTTTTGTCACTCTCAATGTCATTTAAGACTTTATTTCAAGTG